CCCCTGGGGGGGGGGGGCAAAATGTTCAAAAATTTTTTAAAGTTTTTTTCCCCCCCGGAAAATTTTTTGGGTGGGGGTTTTTTGGCGGGAAAAAACCCAGATTCCCCCCCCCCGTTCCCGTTTTTCTTTGGGAAAGGTGCCTTGGCCGGGGGTTTTTTTTTTGGTCCCCGCCTTTTTTTAAGAAGGGGGGTTAAACGTTTTTCAAAGGTTTAGGGCGCCCTTTTGGGGGAGTCCCCGGGGGGTGGTAGGGGGGGGGGTCCAAGGATTTTTCCCGGGCTACGCCGGGGGTTTTTTGGGGTCCCCCCCCCCCCCCCCCTCCCCCCCCCCTCCCTGGAGCCCCCTTCCTCCTCACCTGAACTCCCTGGGGTCCACGCCCACCCTTCGCCAGGACCCCACGCCATCTGCCAGGCCCACGTAGTTGACGGTGTCCGTCGTCTCCGTAGGCCAGGCCACGTCCAGCACGAAGTAAGCGTCCTCGCTGAGGGTCGGGTCATCGGCGACCTCCAGGTGCCTGCGGTGCGGTGGGGGGTTGGTTTCTTTTTCGGTTGGCATGAATCGACCGACCGAGACCGGAAAGGTTTTTCATCTGAAGACAACAACAACACCTCGATCCTCGTCGCTACTACAATCTATCCGTCTGACCATTGAAAAACAAAGGCCAGGAGGAGGAGGAGGAGCAGGGGGAGGCAAGCTTGTCACCTGTGCTCCCTCTTGTTCGCGGAGACCCCCCCATCGGTCATCTTGTGGGGGTGCGGCAGGGCCACCGCTCCCACCGAGGCCGAGAAGGTCTGCTTCCAGCCGGACCGGTTCTGCCCAGGGTCAAGCCCGACGCCCTTGATATAACAAAAAACAAAGTGGGGGGACCGGTGGCCTTAATAGTTATTTTTCGTTTAGGTAAACATCTCAGACATCAAGTATGCAATCGGGGAAGTTGGGATAGGATTAGGCTTGGGGTTTGCATACCCCCTCCCTGTCGAATGTCCTCACAAACGTAACTTCTCGCGAGAAGGCGGTCCTCCGTGTGAGGGTAGGGCGGGGGGACTTTGGTGTGCTGGCCCGTGGGGTTGAACTACTACTATGGCGGATTGGGGAGATGGCGGGCGTCCATGCGGGAGGGAGGGAATCGAGCCATTGCGCGGGCACCTTAAGGAGTTGATGGGGGGGGTAGGTAAGAGAATAAACCTCGTCTTTGGGACTCATCATAGGGGGGGGGGGGGGGGGGGATCTGAGGTAAAACCCGCTCTCTACTGTTGTCTACCCCTCCGGACTACTGCTGGTGTCTTTCGCTTCATATCCTTCTGCGCATTGGTGTTCTTCAACGTCGACGGAATCCCTGGTTGCTGACACAAAGGTCTGCGGTCAATCCACCGAGATGTATTCTTTCGAAGCGTATTTAATCTAGGACTTACACCTTGATTTCTTTACCGAATACGCCCAACCAACAGCTCAAACAAGTTTACGTTTCCATGCTGCCAACTCTTCTCCGCAATCGTAACCCAAACTTTTCTCAGTGGCAAACGAGAAGCGATATGCAAGCACCCAATCCTGGGACAACACACAACAACAAAAAAAGCAACCAAAATTTCTCATGCGGGCTGGCGACGCAGCCCCTTCACCCCGCTGGTCTATTTTCGCAAACATATGCCGCCTCTACATCCCCCCACGACCAGAATTCGGGCAGGCGCGAGGGCCAAGGCTCGAGGGAAATGCAGGGTCTACCTTCGGGAGGCCTTTCCTCTGGCTAATGTTCTTCATGTAGGCCTTCTTGCCGCCCAGCTCCTCCATGCTGAAGCTGAAGTCGCTGATGTCGTTCACGTTGACGATGCCCATCACCTTCCCCTCGGCGATGACCGGAAGGTTCCGTACCTGTTGCATATCGTTGGCATCATTTTCGGGACATGAAAACACCACAAGCAGTGGTACAGCAATGTTGGCTCCGATATCAGAGGGTACTTTCAATGAGAGGGGGCTCCGATTGGCACAGGGTCGAAATCGGCCGTCAAGGACTCGAACCCAAAGTTTCGAGGCAGAGGAGCTATGCGACAATGCCAACTACCTTGAGCTCCGACATGACCAGCAGGCACTGGTAGAGCGAGTCCTTAGCGGAGGCGTAGATCATTCGGCTCAGCGGAATCATGAACTCGTGGGCCCTCGTCTTGAGGGCGTCGGCCTTGTTGGGGTACCTGGCCAGCTCCCCGAGAAGGTCTCTCGAGGTGAACATACCGATCACCTCCTGTAATGTAACAACATCCCGGGATCGAAACGATTAGCACAGGGGGGGGGGGGGGCAACGTCGTTCATAAATCTGGAATCTGTTTGTTCTTGTCCATGACCGTTTCATCACAGAAGGTTGGGGGGAAATGACGGGAGGTATTGCCGTGGCGGGGGATCACCGACCGTTTCTGCCCAGTTGAGTCGCGGAAGATGCGTTTGTGCACAAGACTAGTTCAATCCAACGCGAAAACAAGCAAGCGCGACCGAGTCGACAACAGCTCAGCACGCAAGCCCGTGATCGTTCTTCAAGCGCGTCAAGAAGGTACGCATGACTACTGCGGGGCGTGTCGGGGAGACACGACACCAAGCGAACGACAGGCCGGTGCCGTCCTTAGGCATACACACAAGCGGAACAAGTGAGGGTACCCCAACAATACCGTCAGCAACAACGATGACCATGTCCACGACTACCAGGGTGCACACCCCTTCTGCTGATCAACATCAACAGTACGTAGAACATGAACAGGAACAAGAACGAAGACAACAATACAAAGAACAAGAAACGACGTCTAATGGGGTTGGTCTTTCTTCTGCCGACCAAGATAATCACCAACAACAACAACGAAGAGGACTAAATAGACGACTAGGGCTGACCATAAGCCCAGTTGACCAATACGAACGAACCAGAGAAACAACAGCAACCTAACCGACGATGGATGACCGACGGGCCGACCTTCCTTCTGTTGACTGACCTTCCTTCTGTTGACCACGACGAACGAGGTAACCTTCTGGTTGACGAATGCCGTGATAGCCTCATCCACCGTGCAATCGCCCCGCACCTACAAAAACACGTCCAGCGCGCCGAAAAAGAAAAAAGCACGGCCGTGGCCTCGTTAATGATCAGTGGTTGGTGGTGGCTGTTTCGTCTCTTGGTGCGGCTATTACCACCCCTGTCTTATCGTTGGTAGTAGCAAAAGAGAGGAGGAGGCGACCATTCGCCTCTCTGATTCAAGCAGGTGCGGGAATGATCACATATCACAACGGGACCAAACCACACACGAGGGCTACAGGCGAAACATGCAGCAGCACCAATCGGCTTGATCCCTTTCCCGCTACGACTCGAACTGTCCTTTTGAAAGTACGCGTCAATATTTCGTTTGTTATTCTCTCTACCTACTTGCGGGTCTCACCTGCCCGCAGGGAAACGTCAGTCAAATTACACTTGCGCCACGCAGCACCAACCATCGAATCAGAAAATCAGAGCCATATATCATCCAGCCACAAGAACTTCTCCAAGACCAACAATAAAATTTTCCGGGAAAATGTAGACGACATATACATCACCCATCACCGCGTACAGCAACAAGCACCACTACCAACAACAACAGCCTACACCACCAACAACAACAACAGCCTACACCACTACCAACAACTTTAACACTACAAACCACAACGACAAGAAATAACAACAACAACAACAACAACAACAATATACAAATAACGCCATTGCCAACCAACGCCACCGCACCTCGAGCTGCTGCCTGAGCAGCGTCTTGTCCCTCAAGATGTCCTCCGCATGGAAGGACTCCAGCCACCTACGGGTCATCTCGTTCCCCGCCCTCTCCTGCCACGCCCCCTCATCGTCCGCCCCCTCCGCCTCCTCCTCCTCTCCGACCCCCTCCGCCCCCGGCCCCGGTGCCCCCTGCGCGTCCCCTCCGCCCCTCTGCCTGCCCC